CGAGGCGCGCTCGGCGTCGCGCGAAACGCGCCTGCAGCCGCGGGCGCCGCTGTCTACCCCGCTGCCCGCCCCGCCGGGCTTCCAGTGCTCCCGAGGGAAGACGAGAATCTTCCGGGAGGGGCTGCGCTACTGCTTCAGCCAGCGCCCGCTGCCCGAGTGCAGCCCCTACTGCAGCCCCGTGCGCCTGCTGCGCAAGACGGTCCCGTTCGTGTGTGCGTCCTACAGCAAGGTCACTTCCTACTGGGCGCAGAAGGTGATGCAGGGGGAGGACGTGGACTTCAGCCAACGCGAGCCTAACCGCTGGGTCGTCCTGTCCTTGCCCACGAGATGTGTGTAAAGCGAAAAACTACACAGTGCACTCGACTCAATATCACATTCAAATATTTAAATTTATCGTCTAACTGGGAGAAAATGGGATGTGTTTTCCTTCGAAATTATTTAAAACTATATAACTTTACTATTTTAAATTTTCGAATGGTTGAATTCAGGCAATCCGATTCCTAGTTTATATACCTGGAAAACTTTTAATAGGGTAACTGTAATTCAAAAAATGAAAGCTGGTGCAGTCGGTTTCATGAGCATACCGTCTGAAACAATATAATGGAATCTTGAAGCACATTTCTTTGCAAAACAAAGGGAAGTAACAATAGGATGTCTACCATAAATCCCGGGGAATATCAGTAAAATCTGGTGATCATAGTGATAAGAACAATTGCTCATTAATTACCTCGGTATAGGAATTTGTGTAAATTGCATATTTTAGAAAGATTATTTTTTGTTTACTTTACGCTGGAAATAAGAGTTCACTGTGTAGTAATAATATTTGAATAATATAATACTCATCTAAATCATTTATAAACAATTGTATCTCATTGGAAGTAATAAAAGATATAAGTTGCAAAATTATATCAGCGTACAGAATTGGTATTAGCCTAAATGAGAAACCAATTATATGATGAAACTGACCGATTCAGATTCACACACCTCACATTCCTTCATTTCTTTTCCTTTTTAAAACGAAATTTTCAGCAGCACTTGTCCCTAAATTATAAAGCTAACTAAAAACATAACCTTTATTGTAATATGACAAGTCTTGTAATAGAGTGGAGGTCAGGGACATTGAAATAACTTTTGAAAGAGCCAAATAGAAAGAAAAATAACAAGTAGAAGTTTTTGGACTTGTATGGGTATAGATATGTCTCAGACTAAATGTTACAAAGTTTGAAGGCAATCAAAGGGATCTAAGACCATATATTTCCAATAGACATATGGTAGGAAATTTCATGTAATAGTTACTCATGTGATATTTCCTCTAACAGTGAGGCAACTCTTCCTGTCTTAGTGTTCTGGAAGTTACATTGGGACGCAAAGAGATTTCGTGCGCATGTCGAAATTTCGTGTGCCATTTCGTGTGCTTAACTATTAGATCCTTAAGTTACATTTGTAACTTCGTTGTATAAAATTTTCCTTTACATGTTGATTGGAAAAACTTTCTTCTTTTCAACGTCTCTACATGCCTTGAAAATCTTTATAACTATATTTATTCAAGGCAAGACTATACTTTGACTCCCTAGAATGAAAAATAAAACGTTTTTAAATTTCAAGAAACCGAAGGACATATATTTGTATATAGTAAATAAAGCTTAAAATAAATACGATAAATTGAGCCTATTTGTATACATAGGATATTTTTGTAGAAATGCTGTAACAACTACATTGAATCTTCGTATAAATTGCACAAGTCACAGAAAAGCTACTATTTAAACACTATTAAGCTCGTTATATAAAGGTTAATACACTTAAAATGAACATTTAATTTCTAATTTACTTTACACGTCTTGCTAGAATCAATATCCTTAAGAGATTTATCTTGCTGCAGTATTTTTAATTCTCCGAACAACTATTTGTATACACCTTGTGTATACAAATGGATATTCCAAGATGTCCCAATAAATGTCACAAACTTCTGGGGTATAAAGAGAATGATCACTATTTGAAATCGAACATGAGGGTTTTCTTCTAAAAATGGTATTTGTTTAATGATAGAAGTATAACGCATTTGGAAATACATTTATATTTCGTTGCTTGCCCTATGTAGTTTAATAAAACAGTTTGTCGTTTATGATGAAACGACTGAATGGGCAAAGTAAATTGTACTTAATTTATAGAAATATTTCGGTTACATAGAATCTTGTTGTAACTGATACGGTGTTGTACAACATGATTTTAAAAATTTTAAAGACGATTTATCGTACTTCAAAAATAAAGGTCTAACAGCTTAAAAAGTTTATATTTCCTTCCCGTCATTTTAACTAAAAATAAATAAAAATAAATATTGAAGAAGAGCGAGATTAGTAATATTTGAAAACAAACTAGACATTTTCGTTCTCGAGTTATAGACAACTTATTTTAATCAGTAAACGAATTGCAGGTGTGGTTTTTCTGCTTTGGTAACAAAATAGTGACTCGCCCTTACCTCTACGCCTACCATTACGAGCAAAAGGAGAGTTCAACAAAACGTGCGCATAGTGAAGCTACATTTACGCCAAAACAATTACAAAACAAGGGGCCATCGCAGCATTTGCTCCATGGATCAGGGAAACTGGAGAAAAACCCGATCGAGATGGGGGAAAGTTCAAACTAGGCACTTGATCAGTAATTTTTACAAGAAATTACATTAAAAAGCGATTTACATAGTGTACCAGAAGTGTACAGCTACATCATTTCTGCAACTACTTATTACTTGGCCAAAACGCATTTGTTAAAAATAATGCACATAATTTTAAAGAATGTTGGGACCACTAGAATGGTTGGTAGTAATGATATTCACTATACATGCGACTATTTTATTCTACGAAAATCTAAATATTTTTGTTTCAGTAATTCGTTTTCTACATCATGACATAGAGCATAATTCTACTTCATTTGATTTATAAAATAATGTTCTGTTAGGCGATAAATTGAGCTTTCACGTAGCCTAATGTTCGCTTACAACCAAGATATTGAAAGCATAAAAAGTCAGAAAATTTTCAAGATTTTCAAAAGAGTTTTTCTCTCAAGATTTTATTTCTTTTTTCAAATTGATTTCTGAAAGATTCTCTTTGAAAAAGAATAGATTTTCAGTTCTTTTGCTCTTATTTACAAACATAACTTTACGGTAATCTGGATGTCAATTCAATAAAAATGTTTAAGAATGAAATTTAAAACTATTCCCAAAACTTTAATTTAACGCTAGTCTTAATTATACTAGTTTAATTAACGTTCACTTTCTTAGTGAAGGGACGTAATTATGGCACATGCTCGTGAATTTGTATCTCCCATTTGTGATGGTCCGCGGGATGACTCAGCCTGCGTGTAACGCCACCCTTCCAACACATATGCGCGGCGGGTTGGCAGAAGCACAATGCAGCATTTCCCTTGGAGGCGATGTACGCATCCGACGATTCAAAACCACACGAGACTTGAGAAAATTGTCGTAATGATGTTGAATACATTACATAAACTTGTAAATACATGGAAATGCCAATTAAGTTTTACAAACTTTTTCTGCTGCAAAATTGTCAATTCACATTCAGCACAAAAGATTCACACTGTATTTAGTATCGAAAACAAGAAAACAGTTGTTGACGACCAATAATTGAAGAAGATTATGATGATGTATAAGATATGATTCTGTAATTAGACAAAGAATTTAGCAAGTGCGGATTAAAAATCTGGAATATTACTCGCAATGGCAATGAATGTCTTGAGAATAGCAGCAGATCCAAATTAGAAACAAATAAGGAATGAGGTTATATCACAGAAAATGGATAAAATCATACAATTTTAGATCATTTTTATTTGATCAAATATGAACAATTGGAATGTTGTGGACATTTGATGCGAATAAAAGAAAAACAGGCTATTCAAGAAACGTTTAGGATGGCTTCCATATGGAAGAAGAAAGAGAAATTCACCCAAACATTCATGAACGGAAGAAATGAGGCAAAATTTTAAAGAAGAGAAATTACAAGATATTGACTGTGAAAATAGATTAAATTGGAAGAATCTCATTAGCATTCATAAAAAAATTTCTATGAAGTAATGGAATCCTGGATACAGGAAAATTCATCTACTGTACAATCATCACTAAAAATTAATAAAATAAATTATATTAATGCAATATTTAAGTTTTACATTAAATTAATCTTAAACACTGAATAGGTCAGAAATAAATATTTACGTAACTATTACAGAAAGTGAGACTTGACGTAGGAATGAAATGTTGACATATCCTGGTTGACATCTTGAAATGAGTACCCCAAAGACACTTTCAAACGGTACACAAACCTGAGTGCCGATCACTGGGCCGCAGACCAGCCTTGAGGATGTTAACGACAAAATGGTCGAATCGTTGGTATCATATTTATTTATTTATTTACGTCAATAACAGTTAAAAACTGTGTGATCTGCTATGGGCGTAATACAATTTGAAGTTACATTTATGTCCAGAAGCAAAACAATGGGCCAT